ATAGGGTTAAGGGTACCCCAATGATTGAGGTGTCTCGTGGGAATGGAACGAGTTGACAGTTCTCAATAACAAAAGCATGACCACGTGTCATGCCCAACATCCTTCACACGTGGCGGACTGCACATGCCTCTGCATTTTTATATTATTTATAAAGTTAATCATATCTCTTCCTCCATTTAAACACTATAAGCGTGCGTTTAATTCATAGAATATAGTATTATCTTCGGTAATAGGATTATCGAAATGTAACATTATTTTATACATTATTGAGAATGTTGCATTGTTGTGTTTGGTTTGTTTAGCATGAATGTAAGATTATAGTATTTGGTTAAATGAATAAAAGATTATTAGAATGTATATTTTATCATATTGTCCTTATTATATATTTTTTTAACGAGTTGAATTCTAAATATTCAAATAAATATATCATAGAAAATAAAATTTTACTATTTTTTAAATATATTTCTTTATAAAATTTAAATTCATTAAATTTATATAATTTTTTATAAAATTTAAAAGATAAACATGTTTAATGAAAGGGTTTAATTTTATTTTAACCCCTGAACTTCATATAAAATTCTAATTGTAGACTTTTTTGTAAATCTAAAATAATTTAAGGATAAATTTACAATTTAACCTTCATATAAAATATTTTTATTCAACGACAGAAATGTTGGGGTTCTACAAAAATTGTTTTAAGAGTATTTTAGTCTAAAATAATTTAAGGATAAATTTACAATTTAACCTTCATAATAATTTAAGGATAAATTTACAATTTAACCTTCATATAAAATTGTTTTGTAGACTTCATTTATTGTTGGCTATACTTAAAATGTTGGGGTTTTACTAGGCATGTAAATGAATTGATTGGACACGAATGAGGGTATGTTTATGTTTGTTCGTTTAACTTTAACCGAACAAGCGAACATACATAAACAACTAAACGAATGAATTTTTTTGTTTGTGTTCGTTCATTAAGAAATTTAACTTGTTCATATTCGTTCGTTTAAATGATAACGAACATAAATGAACGAACGCAACAAACGAACGTAAACGAACATAAACAAACGAACATAAAATTAATTGAGTTTATATTTGAGAATATATTTTTTTCTTTTCAAATGATTTTAGGATTAATATTTTCTTTAATTGATTTGAGCACTCTTTACTTGGGTTTACAATTAATTGAGTTCAAAATACTAATGAATTTAAGGTTAATTAAGTCTTTATATTTCGAACGGGTCTGGAGAATATAAATGAACATAATATCGAACGTTCACGAATGTAAATAAATAAACAAGCCTTTTGTTCGTGTTCGTTTGTTTAATTAAACGAACATAAAATCTTATTCATGCTTATTCGTTTAATAAATAAACAAATTTCCCACTAAACGGTGGACAAACAATTCACTTAACCTTCGATGTAATTTATTTTTTGAAAAAGATTTTTCAATTACTTGTTGAGCTCAATTAAATACAAAAGAATGTGAAGGGTTTAATTTTTTTTTTAAATATTGTGAAATTGGTGATGAAGTTCTTGAATATGGTATATGTTGTGCTTAGTGATGATAACAATAACCGAAACAACGTCTAAAGGAAAATATGTATAGATAATTAGTGACTAATATGTCACTAATATGTCACATCAATATTGATTAACGGCATGTAAAGATAACGATTGTTAACGAATTAAAAATTTAATGATTATATTATAATTTTTAAAAGTTCAATAGTCAAAATGCAAACATGCTAAAAAAACAGTGACTATATATTTATACAGTATACCCTTAAAATTTTCAAATAATTAGTGGAATTTTTAACCTTAACAGGAAAATATGTATAAAACAGAAAAAACTTTTGCATTACGTGCCCAAAGAGGAAGAATCTTAATCATGATGATATAATGCTAAGAAGAACAGGTGAAAAGGATAAAAGTAGAAATTTGAATGTCTTCATCATTGCCTATATGCTGCTAACAAACATAATAATTGCCATGCCCTCACCACTGAGTTTCGAGAATTATAATGATCTTTGAACCGGCACCAACAGCCCTGGCCCAGGAGAAAATATATATAGTCGTATTAAATTTTAAGTGTTGATTAACTAGTCTAATGATATATTTAAGCATGTTTAATGATGTGACGGTGAATCCAGGAGATTGTTAAGGATTAGAGTTGGGACGAAATCACGTGGAGGGACCCCGCCGGGACGGTGCACGGTGGGGAAGTGTCGGCTGGTGGTGGAATCCACGGTGGCCAGGAAACACACGTGGAACAGCTATAGCTTGCACACGTGAGGTAAACTTAATCATATAAACGACAATCTCCCTCATTCTCGAATCATTGTGCTAAGTTCCCCTCCCCCACAACTTGAGCTCATCTCATTATCGACCACCTTATATTATATCCCATAATCATGTAATAAAGATTTCATTATTTAACGCATGTATATTTTATAAATATAATTATTCGGATCTAAAATATCTAAAAATTATACCTTAATATAATGTAACAACGACAAATTTCCGTTTACTCTCAATGTATATTTCGACGTCTTAATATTGTTTAGTCATTCAAATTCATTAGCAATCCTTTTAAATTTTGTCTGAAAAACCCAAGCACATACACATTTTAAATATCGGACGATATTTCCATTTACAGTTTAGAAACATGAGAAAAATCACACATAAAGAATATACACATATAATACGCGTCAAAAACGCCTACACATGAAATGATCGTCCATAGTAACACATGTATGCAACAGACTTGTCCTATACCGTTCAACATAGAAGATAATAAAAAACTTAAATAGGTGTCCTAAGTGGTTAACGCGGGTATGAGTGTGAAATATTAATAAGTTGAAAAAATTTAAACATATACTACCTTGTAATTAAGGGCGGACCGAGAAAGCGGGTAGGCTAGTCGTCCCCTTGAAATTTTAAATCATCATGTATTTTTTATTTTTATATGTATTTTCTTTTAAAAATTTCTTTTTTGGCATACTAAAATTTTATAAATTCGTCATTTCTTAAGATTTTAAAAGTTCGTCCCTAATATAAAATCATATGTTCATCCCTACTTGTAATTACCCCATATTATCAAAAAGAAGTTTTACACTTTCATACACCAATAGAATCAAAATTTGATATCAATTACAGTTTCATTATAGTAAAAGTTATATTGACATTAATTTATAAGTCAATTAATTACTTTCAAGTTTCATCTGGTAGGAGTATTATTTTTCAACAAATTATAAATGATTTGGTTAAAAATATTTTATTTATTTTAATAATAAATTATAAATGATTTGTTTAAATATATTTTATTTATTTTAGAATCTAATATTCACTAAAATCTACAATCCACGTTATTAATTTCAAATCTAAATTTACACATATTCTTTTATATATCGGGACTAACTGATGTATCTAAATCTCTATTTATCAGTAGAAGTTGATTTAAGTGGTATATAATTTGATATTGTTTAAACGTCTTTTGAGTTTTTTTGTATACAAAAATTTATTTTTAAGAGATTAAATCATCAAAATTAAATGTACATGTTAGTAGATTCAGATTAATTAAGACAAAACATTTAAATTGTTGGAAAAAATCTCTGATTTGCTGAGCTCGGGAGAGCTGGGAATGAGAATGGCGCGTGAAGTATCGAAAGCTGAGTTGGAGAAACATAAAATCCCGGAAAGAGAGAGGTATCCAATGACTGTAGTGGACAAGTGGGTGTCTGGTCTGGTCGTGTAGAGGCAAAAGTGACACGCACGAGAGCCATCTTGGGACCACGTATCGCCACGTGGCTAGATACCCACATGGCCATGCACGTGAACTCATGTGTGCCTCCCACGTGACTCAAAACCCACCCCCAATCTTATCCTTCTTTTCAATCCCTTTCGGCATTCTCTAACCCCAAACTCACTCAAAGTTTACCCTATGCCAAGCCAGCGCTAAAAAAAAAATTAAACGAAGCTTCCACATTATCAAATAACAAGCTTTCATGGCAAAGTTTAAGATTTTGTTAAAGTAGTTATAAGCTAATATTAATTCAAAATATTTTTTAATTATTGATAATTTATATACATCTCACAAATGTAACTGATTAGTGGAAGTTGGAGGGATCCTCTTTCGATGAGAATCAAGGCTTGCAAGGGATTCAAAAAGAAGCCAACCCTGCATGTGATGGCACACATGTTTCAGATTTTTTACAAGATTCGTTAGGTGCTGGACTTTGGGACTAACATCACATTACACACTGAAAATCAATCTTCAACTTGATAATACTACTTTTAAAAAAATACTAAACATTTCTGCAGATTGAAACATAAGTTCTGCATAGTGTTTCTCATAGTTTTGGTTTTTTCGGGTGATACGATCAATGGTAACAGTTTATACAAACCTCAAGAAATTAGCCCTAAACGGGGTACTTGATTGCATTCAAAGGTTGAGGACATTGCCTCGCAAATGATTACCTTAATGATCTGGTTATTTATTTATTTAACGCGTGTGGCTCCAGCGTGTGGGGGTTTGTAGAAGCTTTACCTGTCCAATTAGTCAACGGTCGACGAGCGAAAAAGCCGCTTTTTAAAGGACGCCTGAATAGTAATAATGAACAGAGAAGAAAAAATAGAAAAACCCTCCGGACAAAAACTTAACCGCGGTTAAAAGGACTTAACATTAATAAAAATATCTCTGTTACAGCTTACAGGTACTTTTTTACCCTTTTGTAACGGTTAAATCTGAACCATGGTAACCAAGGTTGAGTTCAGTCATGCAAGTGGAAGGAAGAGAAAAGCCATATATAATGATGATTGAGCCAATACGGTCACTGACACAAGTCATGATTGAATCTATACCCATCTGTCTCTTTCCCTGGCTCTGTTATATCTCTACATAAAGTCCCATCCTTACAGTGTTCTGCTGCCCCAAAACCAAAAGGCTGTTGTTAAAGACCACCTCTAGCTGCTAAAGCTCAAGTCATTTTCTACCCTTCTTTTCTTACGTTTTGCGTTTTCTCATAATCCAAACACAGAAGCAAAAGAAGGGGGGGGGGGAGGAGGTTAAAAAGGTTAGAACTTTGATTGGTTTTACTCAGGAAAGTTGAGTTTTTTGTTTTTATTTTTTTGTTGCTTTTGAAAGAAGGAGAGATATGGGTGATAAAGATGACGGTTTGGGGTTGAGCTTGAGCTTGGGATGTGCTCAAAATCAGCCTTCTTTGAAGTTAAATCTCATGCCTTTAGATTCACCACGCATGCAAAATCTTCAGCCCAGGAACACTTGGAATGAGCTGTTTCCGTCTTATGGTATCTCCTTGTACCTTTACACCTTCGTGTTTGTAAAACGGTCGACTTTGAAGGAAACACTATTTGAAACAGTTTGCTACTGTTTATGACATGGTTTTATGACCAAAGTTTTTACATTTTCCCCAGCTTTTAGAAACATTAAATCATAAATCTCGTATTCAGATCTGACGTTTGTAATGCCTTACCATCTTTACGTTGCACGTCCTTTGCATATTCACAAGTAAACTTTGAACTTCAATACTAGACAGCGTTTTGTGGTTGATGAAATGAATATTATTATGACTCATGAATATGCATGCAGATCGACACTTGTATACGAGGTCATTTCTTCGAGGAATTGATGTAAACCGGGCTGTCAGAACTGTCGATTGCGAGGAGGAGGGCGTCGTGTCGTCGCCGAACAGCACCATTTCTAGCATAAGTGGAAAGAGGAACGAAAGAGATGACGTGGGTGATGAAACCGAGGCCGAGAGACCATCTTGCTCCCAGGCTAGCGATGATGAAAATGGTGCCGCCGGGGATGCTTCCAGAAAGAAACTCAGGCTTTGCAAGGAACAGTCCTTGTTGCTCGAAGAGACCTTCAAGGAACACAGCACCCTTAATCCGGTCAGTGGCTTCTTTTCAATAGAATTTCTTTTTAGGGGTTGTTTCGTACTTTGGTCTTGATGGGGAAAATGTTGATCTTGTGTAGAAACAAAAGTTGGCACTGGCAAAAGAATTGAATCTCAGGCCTAGGCAAGTGGAGGTTTGGTTCCAGAACAGAAGGGCCAGGTGAGTCGTCAAGGGTATTTTGGGGATATTGTGAAAGTGCAGTTAACCATTTTTGAATCCTTGATAGACCCCTCTATTAATGGCTTTGATTAGGAGGTGTCCTTTTCGGCTCAAGAAAAACTTTTTAAGGGATTCTGCTGTTGCTTTAAGTGTTATACGTTTAACTCATCTCTTAGATTTAATGGCTAAGTGATTAATGAGCAACTTAAAGGCTAAAGCTATCTACAAAAGTAAATCTTTAGATTCAGTAGGCTCTGAGTTTGGTCATTAAATGTAAATAACAGAGATCCCTGCAATTCTAGAGAACTGGTTTAAGCAAAGAAAATGGCAAAAATATTTGCTGGGTTATTGTTATCTGGTGTTACTTTTTGTGGTTGTTTTGGTATGTAAATAGATGTCTATAGGGAGAGCTAGGGGACCCCCATGAAACAAAATCTGGAATAAAATCTCTCAAATGCATGGAATTCAATTGGTGCAGGACAAAGTTGAAGCAGACGGAAGTTGACTGTGACGATCTCAAGAGATGTTGCGAGAATCTGACCGAGGACAATAGGAGATTGCAGAAGGAAGTGCAAGATCTTAGAGCATTAAAATTATCCCCACAGCTCTACATGCACATGAACCCTCCCACTACCCTCACTATGTGCCCGTCTTGTGAGCGCGTGGCAGTTTCTTCTTGGTCGCCGATGTCATCCTCTACCGTAGCGGCCTCCTCCACCCCAGCCCCCTCTTCGGCCGTTCCGAACCAACAACAGCCGTTGCCTGTTAGTCCTTGGGCAGCAATGCAGATTAGGGTACCCTTTAATCCTGCCTCTGCATCTAGATCATAGTCACATCTATGAACAATGCTGGTGGGTACTGATTAGGGTACCATTTTTATTAAAGTCCTGTTTCTTTTTGGACTATGAAAAGGGGATGCAAAGGGTGGAGTAGTGATAGATGCTTATGTTTATCGGTAAGCAGGGGAAGAAGATAAGGAAGTAGGAGATAAGAATCTGAATCTCTTTCGGTTAATATTATTGTGATGTGTTTTCTTGAAAGACAGGTGAGAAGCAGAAATGGAAGGATGGGGTTAACATCAACAGATTCTAATGAAGGAATAATAAAGATATGGAAGGATAAGATTTTGTTTTATTAACCCTTTTATGAACTTATTGGTAAGCTTTTTCCATGTGAATTGTTGTCCAATGAAACTTTGGTCAGATTCTCATTTCCAGCTGCTTTCTATGGTTCTGTCAACTCTTTTTGGCAACAACAAAGACCGCAAGGGTTTTGGTTTAGTTAAACCTCAAAGGACTCAAATCAAATCCAACTAATTTCCAAAATGATTTTTTAATCCTGTCGTATAATGCATTCAACAGTTTTCTGGGAAAATGATGCTATCGGCATCAATCATCATTGAACTTTAAATAGAAATGAAATGATGGTATCTACCACTAAATGAGTACTGTGCATCACTGCCTTTTGATTTTGGTCTTGTTTCATGCAAACAAGTTTTGACATTCGAAAGAGAGAGTTTAAGAGTACCCAGCAAACGAAATGATTCACACGGCCAGAAAATATAATATCAGAAGTACTCCTTTAAGCCCCAAAATTGAACACTTCGGGCTCTTCTGTGAGATGTTACCCTGAAAAGGTAAGATCCCATTTGAGCCCACAAGTATAAACAGAATAACACTTTGACAGCAGAAGTTTCCAATAGGCTCAAACACAGCAACATAAGGATTTCAAGTCCCTCAGGAAGCTGTTTTTCTTGCAAGTTCATTACAATCAATGAGTAACAAGATCTATATACTTGTTAATTTATTATAAATTATAGTCTCTCTAATCATTCTTCAATTTGATCAGGCTTTAAAACTGGAGTGACAATTGCAGGCATGGAACAAAATTTGTTTCTCAGACGTGCAGTCATGAGGAGAAAATGCCAAGGGAAGAAGTGCCAATTGGAGTCAAACTGTATTCACAGTGTCTGCAAGAGAACGAAGTATGCATCCAAAACCAACTTTTTCTGTCAGCTTCTCATGAATCTTAAGGCATCTATCACAGGTTGCGGGATCTCCGGTTGACAAGCCTCTATATACGTACCTTGAAGAACATAACAATCATCGTCGTTATCGATTCACGAATGTGCAAACTAAAGAGGAGGTGCCTGTAAGGAAAGCAAATATTTTCCCAGAGCTAGAACAATTCATCAGACAATATTCAACTATAGGAAGAATCTAGTACTATATCTGTTGAATCAATCAGAAAGCAAGTCTGTCATTTGCATCATCCTTTACAAACTAACATGGTTTACGATCAAACTGTTAATCAGTATACATAGTAAAAGAGGAAAATCACATGACAACATAATCCAATGGAGGATTAATTCAACGTATAAAAGTGATCTGCAAAAGAGAGACTCACTTCATAAGAATATCGTAGTACTTGGGATCTAAAGAAAGGAGCATTCCTTCAACATCTTTTACAGCCATTAACGCTTTATGCACAACTGTCCAATTCGCAGACTGCAAATGCCAAAATCCAAAACCAAAAGTTTAACTACTCCTATAATTAAATAAAAGAAATTGAAAAAAAATGTTTTCCTTTTTGGTACCGAACCTTGCAGCGCTCGTCTTGGGGAGGAGAGTCCTCGAGTGCAGTTTGAAGAGCTTCAGCGGGTTTAAACCTGAGATAGGATCAAATCAATCCTACACAATTGGGGTTATATCTATTCATTTTCCAAATTTTAAACGGGACACTTGATTTCGGATTAGAAATTCTTACTGTTTAATTAGGTTCTCGATCTTCCCAGATTTATTCTCGATTTTCGTTAGTATGTTCTCTGCGCTTCCAGGTTCCACAGGCTTCTCTGCTTCAGCCATAATCGCTAATTCACTTACTCCTCTGATCAATAAATCTCACCAAACAAAAAAAAAATCCCGGGAAAGTCCTTTTCCATCTATACGGCGACGTTTAAGGTCTTTTTGACCAAGAAAAGCAACGGTTTTGATTTTTTCCACCCATTGTGGAGCGAAAATGGAGAGGTCAGTTTGATCGTTTACTACAACGGACAAGGGCAATTATTACAAGGGTAAACCACATATATCATCACTCAACTCTCTTTCCACTCCTATTTTGGTCACCTAAATTTAAAACATTTTAATTTAATAATAGAACTTTATAAAAATAGCTTGTTTAGTCCTTAATAAAATCATAAATATAAATTGAATTAAAAATATTTTTTTAGAAAATTACTTTGAACTAAAATGAAATTAAAAGTTGAATATTTAATAGCTTGATTAAAATATTCGATTCAAAGAAGATGAATAGCTCAAATAAAACGAACAACCAAACATGAAAAAATAAAAAAAGATTTTTTTTTTAAAATAATAACACAAAAAATAGATGTTAAATATTTTAATAAATGATATTTATGTGAGTTTCAAATTCTAAAGTAGTATGTATATTTTTTGGGTAACCAAATTTACTAGCTTATTATACACATGTTCTGAGGGGACCGAATTAGAAATTTTTATATTTGAGTGACTAAAATAGGTGCAAGAAAAACGATAAATGATAAACCATATAGTTTACCCTTATTACAATAATCATACTTTTGAAATCTGCTCCCTCTCTCTAACTTTACTCTCTTTGTAAACCAAACTATTTTCCTTGGTTTCAAAGTCTTCCTTTCTTCAATCAATCAATATTGTTTTTATTTTTCATTTTTTTAATCATTCAATTTCCCCCATTTTTAACTCCAAAATGGGAAACGAAACCCTAACGACGACAAAGAAAGCAGAAGTAAAGAAGGTGAGGAACATCTGTTCTTCATCAATGGCAGATTCGCATCCTCGCTTTACAACTAGACCCTCCACAAAAATGGCTAACAGCAGCATGTGCAGGAACAATTACAGCAATAACTACGTACGTTTTGCTGGTAAGATGTTGTTTTTCGCTTTCTTTCTCATTGCAATCCCATCGTTCCCTTCCCAAGCTCCAGATTTCGTGAACCAAACAATATTCAACAAGTTTTGGGAGCTTCTTCACCTTATGTTCATCGGCATTGCTGTTTCTTATGGTCTGTTTTGTCGTAGAAGTGTTGATAATGGTAATCTTGATGATACCCAGTCGTATGTTTCTGGGATGTTCCATGTTTCATCTGTTTTTGAAGACGGTTTTAGTAATTCGATGTACTATAGTGGACAGTGTAATGCTGGGGATTTTAATGTTAAAAACGGTGGCTTTGAAAACTCTTACGAGGAAAATGTTGTTCAAGCTTGGAGTTCTAAGTATTTTCAAGGGGAACCCACGGTTGTGTTGGCTCAACCAAATTGTGGTCTTGAAAAGTATGGTGAGTCAAGTTCTTCTGTAGATTATAAACCTTTGGGGTTGCCTGTTAGGAGTTTAAGATCCAGGGTTGCAAGGCGGGCTAATCCTGAATTTGGGAATGGATCAAGCAAACCTTCTGGTTCACATATGAAGGATTCGTCACAAGGTTCTAATGAGTGTAGAGATAGGGGATTTAGTGGTTTTGCTTCTGAAAATTTGAATGGGAAGTTAAATGAGTGTGATGTTTTACATTTCCCGATTACTCGGACGCCGAGATCTGGAAGGAGGGGTGAGAGAGTTCATAGTAATGTCACGTATCAAGGATCCTACAATTGCTCAAGTGAATCTTCTGGTTCTCAAATGAATGATTCGTCAGCTAGTTCCAATAAGAGTAGAGGTAAGGGATTATATGATTTGGGCTCGGAAAATTTGGAGATATCTAATGAGGCTGATGTTTTAGGTTCCTCAAATTCTCAGCGTTTGAGATCTGGAAGAACGAGAGTGAGAGTTCACAGTAATGTCACATATGAAGGATATAGCCATGGATCAAGTGAATCTTCAGGTTCACAAATGAAGGATTCGTCGGATAGTTCTAATAAGAGTGGAGGTAGAGGATTTGGTAATTTGGGTTCTGAAAATTTGGAGAAGTTTAATGAGAGTGATGTTTTAGGTTCCTCAATCCCTCAGCGCTCAAGATATGTAAGAATGAAAGAGAGAGTTCATCGTAATGTCACATATGAAGGATTTGACAATGGATCAAGTGAATCTTCTGGTTCTAATAAGAGTAGAGGTAGGGCATTTGGTGATTTAGGTTCTGAAAATTTGGAGAAATTTGATGAGAGTGATGTTTTAGGTTCCCTGGTTCCTCCGTGTTCAAGATCAGGGAGAATGAGAGAGGGAGTTCATAGTAATGTCACCTATGAAGGATATGACAATGGATCAAGTGAATCGTTTGGTTCACAAATGAAGGATTGGCCTGATAGTTCTAATAAGAATATAGGTAGAGAATTTGGGGATTTCGGTTCTGAAAATTCAAAGGGGGAGTCTAATAAGAGTGATATATTAGGTTCCCCGATTCCTTGGCGTTCGAGATCTGGAAGAATGAGAGAGAGAATTCATTGTAATGTCACTCGCCCTTCTCATTTCAGGCCTCTATCAGTTGATGAAACACAATTTGAATCTCTCAAATCACGGTCTCTACGATCCACAGTTTCGTTCTCTTCCCAAGTTAGTTCACAGTCGCAGTCACCAAGTAACCTGTCTCCCTCACATTCCAGTTCTTCAGAATCACCAAAGTCCAAAATGAGTGAATTGGTGAAGGAAAGGAGTCCCCATCAGTCTCTTCCGCCTACTTCACCATCGGTACTGAAACCAATGAGTAATAAAGCTTCAGTGAATGCATCATATTCTCGGCAGTATGGTGATGGCTCGATGTTGGGGACCCCTGCAAAGAAATGCTTCAAGGATGAATTGAAGGAATTATGTAACAGAAAAAAGGACGAGTCATTAGGTAGTAGAGAGCAGATTTCTGGTTCCTTAAACTTTGATGCAAAGCCTGCAGCACCCTCTAAAGCATCCTCGAGAGGAAAGTCAGTTCGGACCTTTAGGACTTCCAGAGCTAGTGTCTATACCACTTGTGCAAAGGATGTGGAGGAAAGGCAAGAAGATTATACAAAGGGAAAGTCGAGAATGGGTTCCGATGAAAACAAAGAGGCTTACACAGGTGAAAGTGAGCCAAAAATTGAAGGCCGTAATAATTTCACCATTGGGTTAAACAGGCAGAACCTTGGAGGTGAATCTCATATGCCTAAGCTTATATCCACTGAAAACCAAAAAAAAGAAATACATCTTCCAGAGAATCCCGCTGCAGAGCCAGGAGAAGACTCGGAGAGAGAGAGTGACGATTTTCAAGTAAACTCAGATGAAGAAACCATGTCCGGGATTTTCAGTATAGCGGGATCTGAGGTCGATAGGAAGGCCGGTGAGTTCATAGCCAAGTTCAGAGAGCAGATTAGGCTTCAGAGAGCAACATCAGTGGATACACCAAGAGGGCTCAACATCACTGGTAACTATTTCAGGTGAAAGTAGCTGTAAATTTCTGAGAAGAGGGTAATCGCTATACTGAAATTGAGGATTCTTTATTTTCTTATCTACTTGAATTCAGGTTTCTGCAGAACCTTGTTCAATGGTTATAGAACATGCTTTGGATAGTTCATTTAAAAGCTGGATTTAGCTTTTTACTTTTTCAGCCTTTTGAATTTCCTTTGATTTGATGGATTGGTTTGAGGCAGATATATAGCCCTAAACATGTATCGATCAACATGCTTTGGGTTGGAAAGTTAAACTTTCCAGTATTTGCTTGGAATTGGAAGGGATGGATGTGTGGCAAACTCGGCGATGCTTGCCACCTGTGTCTGTATTTCTTTGGATGAACAGTTTGCATTTGAAAAAAACTGTCATTTATTGTCATCCTAACTAGGCAAAGTAGTTCTTTATTGTCAAGATGTTATTTGGAAAAAAGTTTGCCTTGAAATGATCAACAAATTAATCCCGAACCATTACGAAAACGACACCTCGTGGAGAGGCAGTCTAGTTTATAAGAAATTAAGAATTAACTGCGGATTAAGACCATGTAGATACATATTCTCTATTTATTAGACTGCAAAGATGCCAACAATGTCTAATATAATTCTCTATCGACTAGCACAAATAGATTTATATGCAGGCACTGGCATAAAAGAAAGATAAACTACAAGCCCTACCAAGGATCACAGGTGCCTAATGCGTATCTTCTGCAGGTGCCATATGATAAATGATTGTCTCGTCTGAACTTGGATTTGCATGATACTGTCCGTAAAATGCATAAATAGCAACAGATATTAAGCTGAGGATGACGAATCTAATCCATGCTTCATAGTGCAACTGTGCCAAGAAGAAAAAATAAAGGCTAATTAACACTGGCCAACTTTGATCCATAATTTCTTCGAATTTCAACTCCTTTATCGATTGGTTACATGAATTCAATGCACTAATTCCAAAGGAGTGTAGTCAGGGCATACCTGTGCAAACAGGAAGATGTTGAAAAAGATGCAAACAGAGGGCACAATAGGAACCCATGGACAGGAAAACCCCGGAGCTTCTGAATAATCCTGAGACAAGTACATTAATGGGTTCAAAAAATCTTATTAAGAGGTTTACGATATTCAGCTGACCATTTTAAACACGCAGAAAGTAAAAGTGTGCACTGTGAAAAGCCAAAACTGCAACCAATCTAAACTTGGAACCCATTAACACAAATATATACCAATAAAAGGCTCCATTCTTACTGGCATTGGAAAGCAAAAGTATAAAAACAAAAATATGCATAGAGATAAGTTCATTCACCTGACGGCAATAAAGAGCAGCACAAGCCAATATGGCTATCACCAATGCAACAATCATATAAATAAAGGAAGCACCGACACGATAAAGAACTCCAGTAGCAAAACCACAGCATGCCAGTATGGCAATCCATATGACACCTTCACACCAGGTTGCCATGCATTTTGAAGAATCTTGATTTTCTGTCCTCTTCTTCCAGCGAAGAGTCACAACACATGCAGCAACAACAGAATAGCCAGTCTGAAACAAATCAAAGCATAAAATGAGGTGCAAGTACTTCACAATTTCTCCTTCAAAAAATCAACTTAGTTTATGCAAAAGTACTTCCCTTTGACCCCACAACCATCCAACACAAGCACTTCAATACATTACTTCATGTTGACAAAAACCAACCAATGCACTTTTTAGTTAAAAATTTAGTAGAAAAGAGATAAGTTCTGCAGATACACATCCAGTTCCATCCAAAGCTGAAACATACTACTCCAATAACCTACACATGATACTATGAAATATAGCATATGCTGAAGCAGGTTACACCTAAATTTCTGAGCAATGTAGGTTCAGTATCAATCCTTTTCAAAGTAAAAGGCACGTTAATTTAAGAACATAAATGACCATATACAATTAAGCAAGTACTGGACAAAAACTACTCAAAAAAGAAAAAGAAATGGGCATACCAGTGAGCCAACTGAAAGAATGTGTGATAGGATATGCACATTAAATAGCCCTCCCAAAACAGCAGCAATAATACCAACCCAGACTTGAGAATGAACAGGTGTGTGACGTTTCGGATGCACTTTAGCAAATATTGAAGGCAGTAAACCATCCCTTCCAAGCCCAAGATATAATCGAGACTGCTCAGAGAAACACTATATCAAGCATTTCATCATGTGCACTTAGGAACATGCTACTCAAGAATGATATCATCACATAACAAAAACATAGAAATTCCAAATTAGTTCACCTGAACATATAGACCAACTAGAAGGGTTGTCGTAAGCCCAGCAACAGCTCCAATGCTGATTAAAATAGAAACATATTTCAAACCCTTGGATGTAAAAGCTTCAGCTAAAGGAGCATCTTCTCCCAGCATGTTGTATGGTACCATCCCAGTGATCACCAAGCAAACAGCAATGTATAAAATAATACATACAAGCAGACTTCCCAATATTCCTATCGGTAAATCCCGCTGAAATATCAAAACCAAAACAGGGAAAATATAAAGACTGAAACTACAAATTTCATGCAGACACTATATAGGAATTCGATACAAGATAAACATTATCAACATAAATTACAAAACAATGAAGCATAAGACTTTGTGTTGCTCTCGAAGTAAGAATACCTGAGGTCTCTTTGATTCTTCAGCAGAATTAGCAACCGCATCAAATCCGACGTATGCAAAGAATACCACAGTAGCACCCGTCAATATTTCTTTAAAACCATTGGGAGCAAAAGGAGACCAATTATCTACATCAACTTTGAAAGATCCGACAATGATGACAAAAATAACAATGACAACCTGCAACATGGTTAACACGGAAAACAGTTACCGGCATATTACTAAATTTCGGCCGCAACCCAGTGCAACGGCCTCATTGTAACATTTTTTAAGGTGAACGAGACATCGCAACCATATCCTCAACATAAAATCATAGTTATATTTAGGAAATAAATCAAGTCGTAACTTCTGCAACCTTAATACCGTTACCACTTACCCCCAGTTCACCTTTTCTTTTTCGTCTTTGTTCCTTTCATTATTTATAATATTCCGAAAAGTTCTCTATTATGTTTTTAGTTGATACACACAAAGGGCAAACGTTGATCTTTAAATATTCACAAATCTCATTGGCTTTAGTATCCGAGCACCATTTTTGTCTCTTTTATTAAAAAACTTTCAGAAAGGAAAAACAGATATCATCAGTCGTAAAGAAAGAGAGTACCTTGGTTGTAGTCATGAAAGAATTAACAGCAGAAGACTCCTTAACACCCTGACAGAGAATTATAGTCAAAAGGGCAAGAAGAATCGGAGCCAGAATATTGATAGACAATGTTCCTCCAAATAATTCCTGACCACCATGACCAACCCAGGGAGGTATCTTTCCTTTCAAAGCAGGGATGAGCTCGAAGATGGTAGCCACGTAGCTCGCTAAGCTCCGCGCAATACTAGCAGCCCCAATATGATAATCCAACATCAATTGCATAAACACAAGAAAAGCAGTAATTTCATTGAAGGCCGTATACGCGTACAAGTACGCGCCTCCGACCACGGCGGGGAACCGTGACGCTAACTCAGCATAGCACAGCGCGTTCAACACACAAGATGCTCCCGCGAGTATGAAACTAATAGTCACTCCTGCGACAGATTTGAAATCACCCCATAAGTCAAATTGGGAAATGAAATCCGCGATCCGGTAAAATAAAAGGGAGAGAATTCAGAATCGGTACAGACCAGGACCGGCATCGCGAGCCACGGTTCCGGTAACAACGAATATACCAGCACCGATAGATGCGCCGACGCCGAGTAGGAGGAGATCGAAGACGCTGAGTCTGCGGATAAGGCCATCGCCAGAAGCATCGGCGGAGGGTTTGAGGGTTTTGGCTCTAAGCGCTGATGAGCAAAACTGAGAGAAACAAGAAGTAGAAGATGAGGAGGGAGTGGCGTCTTTATGTGAAGTATCCATAGGTAAGATTCTGTGCCCGCTTTGGTCTTTGATCTTATTTATAATCCGAAAATTCATTGATTAGGTAGAGATAAAACAGCTCGAAATTAGCCATTCATTTTTGCTCTTATATATCTCCATTTTCAACACCAATCAGATATTCTCTCTCCTTCCAAACTACCGTGGGAAAATGAATGAATGAACTGCACAAATGGTCACTAATTTTTTAGTAAATTTTTATTTTCTTCATTGAAGTTTCAAAAATAATACATTGATCACTAACATTATTGATTTGTAACAAATCGGTCATTCATCGGTAACAGCAGTTAATGTGTGTGAAGGAAAATTTATGTGGCTATTAACCTCTTACATGAAAACGTTGACACTGGAAAGTTGTTCTTCACAATGGCATTTGAGGTTAACGACTTTTCAACGTGGAGTTCAACGTTTTCAGGTAAGAGGTTAACGAAAACATAAGTTTTCCGTCACGCACTTTAACTTCTTTTAACTTTGAGTGAACGATTTGTTACAAATCGATAATATTAGTGACCAAATTATTACTTTTGAAACTTCAATTGGGAAAACTAAAATTTATTTAAATATTAGTGACCATTATTATAGTTTACCCAAAAAATACCGCCAGACAACTCCAGTAGCCAGTGGATTTATGAATTTAGTTTAACTTTTGAATTCATTAGATTATTAAATTGATATTATTATATTTAATATCTTAATATATTTTTATATTTTATATGATAATAAAAATAGTATTAATGAAAAAAAAATTAATTATATAAAATTATTGTGATAATGAAATCGATTTAATATTATTAAATTAATTCCAAACTTATGACTATGTAGGATCAACTCTCAAATTAAAATCCTAACTTCCAATCACGTTCAATGTAATCCTTAATTCTATAAAACCTTCTTATTAAGAAACTAGATTTAAATTTCATTCAATTTAATCCTTTAAATTTTAGTCTTTAATTCAATTAAATCCCTTCAACTTGCATTTATTCCAATTAAGTATAAAATTTAAAATTGAGCTAACTTCTAGATCCAATTTTCCTCGGTACTTTCATAGTGAGTTTGATTTACGATTCATCTTTTCTGGTATGGGTAGTAAGTTACGGATAAAAAGTGATTTTTATCTATATGTCTGTCCACATTTTGTTCTATGTTTTTTCTTTTTCTATTTATAAATCTCTTCTCTCGAGACTTATAATTATTCTAGGATCAACTCTTGGATTAAACTGCAAACTTTCACTCACATTCAATATAATCCTTAATTTTATAAAATATACTTGTTAAGCAACCAAATTTAAATTTCATTCAATTTAATCCTTTAAACTTTAGTCTTTAATACAATTAGATCTCGTCAACTTGCATTTATTCCAATTAAGTCTAAAATTTAGCATTGAGCTAACTTCAAGGTCTATTTTATTTGGCCAATACTTTCAGATCGAAACTCAAGATGTGACATAGACTACGAAATCAGCAGAAAAGTGCTATAATCTTGTGAAAGGCCCAGGTTAGTCGTCTACTGTGATAAGCTCGCATCCTGAAACTCGAGGTAAGCTTGGCACCCTTGATTGAATTGGTCGGCTTGTTTCTCATAGAGACCTCATCGTGGGACTAGTTGGCTACGAGTGTGATCACTTGAAGACCTTTACATGTCTTTCGTCGTGCCATTGGGCGAATCCTAGTCTAAATGTCAGTTTTTGTGTACTACATTACATGTTTGGTCCACGATCATTACATCAGTATCGATGAACAACGAGTGAAGTGGCGGTTTACTGTGACTGTGGTTGTGCGTTTGGGGTTTCCCATTTTATGCCTATATTTCCCCATCCATACTTTCATTATTCTTTGGCTAATTTTCGGACTTTTTATTACTAAGCTCAGGTATACAGTACATCATCTTTTTCTCTTTCTTTTTCATTTAGGATCAAAATTATTTAAATCCTTTAAATTCGAGTAGTTATATCATGGGATCAAATTCCATTCAAGAAATAATCAGAAATAATGATTTTTTAAATAAATTTAAAATTAAATATTATAACCTATTTAGCATCTCATTTATCTACGTGCTTGTATTTTAATTATTCAACCATTTCTTTTAAATCATATATAACGTTTTTACTTTTGTATAATGTTGTTAAGCTTGATCGTTGACTAACTAAAAATGATGATGTGATATGGTATAACAATAATTTTAGTCTTCAAGATTTTCACATTCTATCGATTTTGGCCATAATTTAAAATAGTTTGTTAGGTTTGACTCATAAATATACCGGTAAAGAGGATAGGGGATGGAGCGGAGTGAGCGAAGGTACAAGGGTTAATTTTGTAATTATGTACCAAGTTTATCTATTATAAATAGAGATGTAACCTAAATCTATGAGACATTGAATAAAACTTCTAACGCCGCCTAGACACCGAGGATGTAAGCACATTGCTGAACCTCGTTAAAATTATTATGTTCTTTCGTTTTTCTTTACCCGAACATCAACATAGTTTAATAGATCCGCAATAGTTAAAAAAATCTTAACAATTTGATCTTCATTTTATTTTGAAATAATTTAATAATATTTTTTAAATATTGACAATTTATTGAATTATTTGAAATTAAGAAAAAAATAATAAAATGCATAAATAGTATGAGTAAAACTATTATTATACTATGCTACATAATCATTTTTGTTAAGTTAATGATCAAAGTTAACGATGATATATCAAAATAGTAATAAAACATAAAATTAAGTATAATTTCAAAAAATAGTTATATGAATAAAACATAAATATAAAAACAAATCGAATATCAAATAAATAACTTAACATAAACTTTATAAAATATCATAAATATATTCATAAAAAAATCATATACTTAAGAAAACTTAAAATCAAAATAAAATCTCACCAACAAGAGTTGGTTCAAGTGGTAATCAACTTGATATCGCTTAAATACAGTCTAGAGTTAGAGTAGAAAATTATTATTGGGAGACTCAATCACCAAAACTAGGTGTGCGACGTGGGTTAATCCAGATTACTCAAAATAAAACCATGAAATCGGAAGAAAAAAAAAATTAAAATAAAATATCAAAACAACAATAAAATAAAAGCTGCACCCAATGTATTTGAAATGATAATAGAATTACATTTAGTACAATATTACAATCAGTTTTAATGTACTGAATGTAATTATTGTTTTTTTAGGAATTCTCCTGCTATAAAACTCGATTGCCTTGATTACATTTAATGCTTTGAAAAATGAAAGCAAATTAATCAGATGAAATTAAATGATATAGCGCCATTGGATTTACATCGCCCACCAAGCCATTAGATATTAATTCACTTATTTATTGGAATCGGTGTCGTCGAGCTACTGCCATCCACATCGGAAAATGATAAAAAAAGACGACGGCTCAGGCGGTGAGCGACGCCGTGCCACTCTAACGGGTTCCATGCCACCTGAGCCGATCAAGTGAGGGAAATTGAGATTAGCTTTTGATCCACGGATCTTGAAAGCGGCTTTATCGTAAGCCAAAGCTGCATCTTCAGCCGTTTCGTAAGTTCCTAGCCAAACCCTCAACCCATTCTTCTCGGGATCCCTTATCTCCGCCGCGTACTTTCCCCACGGTCTCCTCCTCGCTCCCCTGTATTAATTGCACCCTTTTTTCACTCGCCTCCCGCGGCGGCGGATCCACTATTCCGGACGGAGGACACGCAAAGCTAAATTCTTTGTCAAGGTGAAGGCCGGTGAAGCTGGAAGTAGACCCCCCGTGTAAAGGTGGCCGGTCGAAGGAGACGACGTCGTCTAAACAAGTGAAAGAAGATTCAAAATCATCAGCCAGAATATGGTGGCTAATGGAGTCCAAGAGAGCGAGATCTCCGGATACTGAACTACTCTCAGGCTGATCCCCCGACATTCTTTTCATCAACAGTAAGAAACCAAGGGAATTAAACAAGCAAGCGATCTGTTTAACGGGAAGCTGAAGAAGAAGAGTTGTCGTTTGTTGACATTTATCGCCCCTGAACCTAAAGCTGGGAAAAGTTTGTATAATGTGAAATATCCGTTTCTTCGAAGTTTCGATTTAAATATCAATTGTTATTCCAGCACATGCTTATTATTGTATAATTCGTTGGCATATAAAATTGAGCTACCAACGACGAAGCCAGGCCGAAGGGGGCCACTGCCAAGTTCATGAACACCTGGAGACCAGTTTAGGACTTTCTAGTTACTTGAACAGTCCAGCCAATTTTATTTTGATCCAAATAAGATCGGTAGAGAGATTTTATTAAGAACTTTGTGAGATTTAAACTATAATTTTATCATTTTTTGGTTAAGTACGCCGACCTTTGAATGTTGTTATTTCTATAACTCATCAAGTAATTTCAGTGATAGAAAGAATAATCGTCTTTCCTAATGATCTTAGGTTGAAGCAGTTATATTTATAAAGTGTGTACACAACGTTCATAACTAAAAAATATTATAAAATGATACTATCTTATAATTACCTTGTATCATTTAAGAAAATACCATATATTCGTATAAATAATGATATTTTAATAATTATCACGTATATTACACATATATATACATAATGTTATCGTTTTTTTGTCCTTTAACCCTAAAATAAACCATTTACCTTTTAATTTCATAGAAAAGTATGTAAATAAAAATTAATTTTAAAAAGAAAAAGTGTATTTAACCATCAAATATTTATATTTTTGGCCATCTCTAATAAAAAATTCCTCACTTTATCTATGAATCATCCCTTGTAAGACGATAAACCCTAACCCTAAAGCTGACAAAAGTTTATTGCGGTTAAAACTTGAAAATGGGTTGTCTGGCACTTAATCTGACTCTTCTAAGTTTCAATATTTATTTATAATATGTTAATTGGCTATTCAAACATGTGTTGAAACTGTGAAATTTATTAAGATGTTAAAGTACAAAAGCTACCACACCATTGCTTTCTTTTCTTCTTCTTGATATCAAGTCATCATTGTAATCCTACTTTGTAATTTGGTTAGTAAAATTACAAATATAATTATAACTAAGCGTTAGATAACTAATTTATCTATTTATAATTTCAAGAATTATTGTTGAGAAACAAAATGCAACCCATTTTATAGTTAACGATAGAAAACTAGACAGCTTTCCTGATGAAACTTGCATATCCTAACGAAATTTATAGACCTTCATCCAAGTAAAATTCATGTAAAAGTACTTGTTAATCAAGTTAGGTCAATAAATACCTAATAAACTTTGTTAAAAGGATTAATTATTCTAAAAATTCATGCAATTAATCACTGATATAATCAATACTCAATAGTGAATCACTTGTTTTGCTGAAGTTTATGTTTACTCTATAGATTTTTAGTTTACTTATTACGTTGTCATTAGTTCTGAAATTCGATATTTTTTTGTTACACTGAAATCCGAATTTAAATATATATATTTTTGAGTTAATAAAGAAAATATTTAAAATATATTTTAAATAAATAAAACAGCATGGTTTCCACATGTTTTATAAAAACAAAAGCAAACAATTAGATATTATTATAAAATTCTAAATAGAATCAACTTTTGTGGAAAATTTTACATTCAAATCTTCTGTACAAGCAAGTAGACTTTACCAGTTTATTAGCACAAGTGTCATTATTATTATTTTTAATAATTTAAGGTGATTATAAGGTAGTATTTATTTAGATTTTTTAGTCTATTAATTTAAATTCTATTAGTTTAAATTTAAATAAAATTAGATTTTAATATTTTTAATATTGTAGGTTTGTTTGCTATTCATAAATAGACTGTTTTTTTATAAATTTATAAATAGATGTTTAATTATTCCCAAATTTGTTCGGGTTCAAGAACATATTAGTGACATATTAATTTAATCTTCATAAATATTAAACAAATAAATAAAAATATATAATTTTAAATAGAAAACATATATAATTAGTTCCTTTAAAAGAATAAAAATCAAATACGGACTTAAAAATAAATAGGAGTACGACGCGTGCATTGATCAGGAATTAATGCAAAAAGCAAATGAAACAAAACTATTTTTTTTAATAAAAAGAACAAACGTGGGCACGTTATGGAGCATCGGTGCTTTATTTTATGGAACAAAATACAGCATGTGCTTAATTAAAAATTTCCTTCCCCCACTTCAAAATGTAATTAGTTTAATAATTACGACCGAACGCCGATGGAACATTCAGAGAAATAGATGTCAAATTGTTTCTTTCTTCCTATATAAACCCACAGTACCATTCCCCTGCGCCATGTCTTCACTAAATCACTATCACAAAGCTTGTCGAAATGGACATGGAGATTTTGTCTGAATCAGATTTCAACATCCTTGAATCTTTCCAACGTTTCTTCGATAGTTCTGACGAATCTATACTACCTCCGCCGCCGCCAACGACAACAGTTTCGACCTGCAATAATATCGTTCTTAAACCTTCATATAACCGGAGTTCAAGTTTCAGTGGTGTCTTTTTGAATGAGAGCTGGGGTGATTTGCCTTTAAAGATTGATGATTCCGAAGACATGCTGCTTTACACTACTTTACGCGATGCGGCGAACTCTGGGTGGAGTCCTTTGAACGGCGTTGGTTTGAAAACGGTGACTGAAGCGGTTGAACAAGAGTCATCCAGCGAAGAGAAGGAGAAGATCAACGTGGCGCCTTCGAGGGGGGCGAGTTTTAAAGGGGTGAGGAGAAGGCCGTGGGGGAAGTACGCGGCGGAGATAAGGGATCCTAAGAGGAACGGTTCGAGGATTTGGCTGGGGACTTACGAGACGCCTGAGGATGCTGCATTGGCTTACGATAGAGCCGCTTTCGAAATGCGTGGGGCTAAGGCTAAACTGAACTTCCCTCACTTGATTGGCTGTAGTGATCGGCAGCCACTCAGAGTGGGCTCAAGGCGTCGCTCAATGCAACCTTCAGCTTCCACAATGTCGCAGTCCAAGAGAAGGAAGAGTACAGGTTCAAGTAACTCCACAACTACAGTCGAGCTGCCGGAGAATACAACCTTAGCTGCACCAATGGAGGTGATTCAAATGAGTTCATGGACACCAGCAGACCAGTTTTGGAATTTCTAGTTACTTAAACAGTCCACCGGATCGGACCAGTGCCTAATCCTTGAGTTTCAATATTCTCTTCGAGTATCACTATTATCTCTAGATTGGATAGTTTTAATTTTTCATAAATTCTACTTGACGATTCCGATTTCTTGAATATCACACTCAACTTAAATGTCAACGCTAAAACAATTTTCATGTCTTTAAACCTCCATTGGCTTCGGCATTAGATTTACATTATTTAATCACTAAGCCATTTCTATTTATTGGCTTCTGGCATAGTTAAGCAGCTGCTAATGGGGCTAATGGCTCTGGTTGTGAGCGACGCCGTGGCCCCACTTGATCAGGTTTTATATTAATGCCCAAATTATATATTTTGTGTCTAATAAGTACCGATATTCTTTTTTGTGTTATTCGGGTGCGTAACGTTACAAACGTTAGTACTTTAAGTGTCTAATCTGCCAACGGTGTTAGTTTTTCTTGTTAATTGACACATGTCATTACCTGACAATTTTAAAAAAATTATATAAATTAAAAAAATAAATTATATATATTTTTAAATAGAAAACAAATAAATTTCAAAATAACCTCTAAACTTTAGAAACCTTCATTTCTATCTCTAAACCTACATCGACCGCCACCCTTTGTCTTTGAAGAAGCTCCACCTGACCTCCCCTCCCCCTGTGACCAAAACCCCTATGAAATCGTGATCGGTTGACTACAAATCAACGTTTTAAATCCCGCGAATCCTAGGTTGAAAATCACGATCTCACACGATTCCGATGGTGAATCGGTAACAACTACTGCGACGTATAACTATGATGATGGCAAGAACTACGTCGGCAGTGGTGGTCGTGGCCAGCAGAGAGGGCGGTGATGGTGAATTAAGGTTAGAGTTTGAGATTTTAGGGTTGTTTTATAATATAAAAAAGTTAAGATTTTTTTTATAAATATAATAATTAAAAAAAATCAAAATTATCAGGTTGTGACACGTGTCATTTAATGGGGAAAACTAACTCCGTTGACGGCTCGGACACCTAAAGTACTCACGTTTGTAACGTTATACACCGGATGGGCTAATAAAAATATAGGTACTTATTTGACACAAAATGTATAGTTTGGGCACTTATTTAGGCATTAAGCCTAAATTCTAACCCTAAGATGGACAAAAAGTTATTGCTATCAAAACGAGAATCTAAATGGTACGACAACTTAATTTAAGGTTAGGAAACGACATAGAAAAGACGTAGTCAAAAATATTATAAAAAATATAACATTTTTTGTTGAGAGTAACTTAAAATGTTAATTTTTTTCTTAATATTTTTTGTTGCAAACCTTTTTAGAAACCTTTTTGGTTTATCTTCTTTATAATATTTTCTGCTTAACTAAAAATATTAATCTTTTAACTTTTTAAGTTACACTCAATCGAAAATATTATATTTTTTTATAATAATTTTAGTTACATCTATTATATATATCATTCTTTAGTCCTAAATTAGATTATTGTTGAACAAAATTTATCAGTTAAAACATGAAAAAGGGTTACCTGGCACTTTACGTGATTCTACGAAGTTTCGATCTTTTTTTTTTGTTGAGAAAATCGCCTCAGTGACCAAAAATGCCTTATAATATACGATTTTAACCAACTTTTTTTGGATTTGCCAAAATGACCAACAAAATCGCAACGCGAAATAAAAATCGCAACGCGATCCCCAGAATCGCAAATCAGTTTCCAAAACCGCAACGCGATTCTTGAAAATCGCAATGCGATAGTACAAATTCGCATTGCGATTTTCCAGAATCGCAACGCGAATATGAAAATCGCAACGCGAACACATAAATCGCAACGCGTATCCGTAAACCGCAACGTGTATCCGTAAATAGCAACGCGTATCCGTAAATCGCAATGCGTATCCGTATATCGCAACGCGTATCCGTAAATCGCAACGATAATTCGTAAATCGCAACGAGAATCTGTAAATCGCAACGATAATCCGTAAATCGCAACGAGAATCTGTAAATCACAACACTAAAATTTTGGGTATATAACTACGCAACAGCAGCAAATCATAAACTAAATCCCTAAATCGCAACTCATTCCATCTCCATCTATCACTCTCTCCGGCGACATCCGTTCCTATATCCAACGACATCCTTCCCAATCCGGCAACAGGTTTTAGTTTCGCAGCTCGTCTGTTTAGTAAATTAATTTACAACCATGAAATCATCTAATGTTGATCATGTTTGGATAGATTTGTGTTTTGGAGGGTCATGGGATAATGTTCATGGTGTTTTACAATATATGCCTTTACCCATGAATCTTCAACTAAAATTGTCTTTACAAAAGTTAACTTATGAAACTCTAATGCTACGTGTTTCAAATAAATTGAATTTAGAGCCCCTAAGTGGATTTAGGCTATCTTATCAGAGAAATGGTAAAGTTTATTTGTTAACCGACAATGAAGATGTTGAACGATTCATTGCTTACATTAGTGTTTCACAAGATGATGTTACATTGTATGTTGTTGAACCTAGAGTAGTATTGTTGGGTCAGTAGCGGGTAGTAATCAACTAAGTTTTTCTCAAAACCCACAACCTTTCTCTAATCCAAATCCCAATCAACTTTCAGCACCAAATTTCGGTTTTCGTATTGACCAGTTAGACGATGATGAGCCAACAGAAAAAATTGTGAGTACTAGTCAGTATTCGAAATTTGGTCTTGGTCAATATCCGGACTTTGATATTGGTCAATACATGGATTTTGATGATGTTTCAGAAGAAGAAACAGACCCTGCGTGTAATGATTTTGATATTGGTCAATACCCGAATTTTGATGATGAAACAGCCGTTGCCGAAGAAGGTATTGTTGATGATAATGAGGAGGAAGTTACGACTGTGAATGAACATGTTGAACATCCATTCTGTAATTCATATAATCCTGAAGAAGAAAAGAAGAAGAAAAAGTCCCCGAAGAAAAGAAAATGCCACGGACGTATAACTGGAATATGCCAGAATTACTTCAGATACCGGAAGAAGAGTTGGTAAAGAAAGCAGTTGATTGTTACACAAAAGTTATTCGTATCAAGAAAGATGATTGTTTTGATACAAGGAAGACTTGAAGATAGCTTTGTATACGAAATGTGTGGAAGATGGCTATCAACTAAAAGTTAACAAATCAAGCAAAGATCGTTTCGAAACAAGGTGTATGATTGACAAAAACTGTACGTGGCGTATGATTGCAAAGAGAATAAAAGATTGCGAAATGTTTCAAGTTAGGACTTTTATTGATAAACATACATGTTCAAGAACCCAAGTTTTTCCTCACCATAGACAGGCAAACAAAAGGTGTTGGGTGGTTTTCTGGCTGAGTTAATGTTTTTGAATGGCAGGGTATATCGGGGACATGAAATTATGACTGACATGAATGCTCGGTTCAAGATTAGTATATCATATTCTCAAGCTTGGAGAGCCAAATGTTATGTCTTGGAATTATTGAGGGGGTCGCCAGAAGCATCGTTTGCCCAACTGCCGGCTTATTGTCACAATTTAAAGCTGAAAAATCTTGGTCGGTAACTCATATCAAAACAGATAGATGGACACTTTGAGTTGCTGTTTATCGCCATTGGTGCTACGGTTAGTAAATCAATATAATTTTGTTGACTCATTTTTGTTAGTTACATGCATTTCACATTTAAATGATTATAATTCTTGTGTATATTATTTTGTAGATTCGTTCGTTTATTACTTGCATGCGCCCAGTTATTATAGTTGACGGAGCACATTTGAAAGGTCGATACCTTGGAGTAAACTTATTAGCAGTAGCCATGGATGCTAACAATGAGATATTGCCAATAGCTTACGGGGTTGGCAAATCTGAAACCTCTGATTCATGGACATGGTTTATGGGGCATCTTAGGGATTGCATAGGTCCTATTAGCAATCTGACAATCATATCCGATAGGGCAAACTCAATTGACAACGCTGTTAGAAGGTGTTTCCCAGATGCTTTTCATGGACTTTGTGGTGTTCATTTGTATAGAAATCTAAAATCAAGGTCTGTTGGTATAAAAAAGCACAAATGGACATACTGGAAGGCTGTAAAAGCTTATCGGGAAGTGGATTTCAATAAGCATATAAATTATTTAAGACGTGTTTTGCCTCAGTGTGCTCAAACACTAGAAGATGTCGGGTTTGAAAGATGGTCAAGAGTACATCAACTTGGAGCAAGATATGGTTTCATGACGTCTAATAGTGCAGAATCAATCAACGCTCTAAGTCGTCATTCCCGGAAATTACCCATTACTATGTTAATGGAGTTTTTTCGAGCCTCTATTCAACAGTGGTACTACAAGAAAAGAAACCATGCAGGTATTATTTCTTTGAATTCGTAACTATCATATTTATATATTTTACTAAGTATTGTTTATTTAAATTTACAGGAACATTGGAACATCGTGTTACACCATGGACTGAAAAAAAGATAACGAAACGTGTTGTGAAGTCAACGTCATGGAGAGTTGAACCATGTTCAAACACTTTGTTTCAAGTACTGGATAATAACTTAAATGGGCTAGTCGATCTAAATGCAAAGACGTGTAGTTGTATGAAATGACAAACATCTGGTTATCCGTGTGGCCATGTTATAAAAGTTGCTCTTCATTTAAACCAAGATGATTCAAGCGCATACGCTATGGATTGCTACACTACAGAAGTTTATCGACAGACTTATGCCGAGATTGTCTACCCTATTCCACATCCTTCTGAGTGGACATACCAGATGACTTACAAACAGTTTTGCCACCAGCCATGGACAGAAGGCTACCTGGCCGACCAAAAAGTCACGATCGTATACCGTCTAAGGGTGAAGAGAAAGAGATCGACATGTAGTCGTGCAAGGAAAGTGGTCATACAAGGTTGACATGTGGATCACCAGTGCCATCACAATCATCTTTTCCTCTACCAAAATATGGATCCTCATCAAAATCCAAAGCTCATATGGTGTCAAGCAAAAGGCAATCATC